AAAAAAAAAACAAACAAAAAAACAACAACAAACAACAACAACAAAAAAACAAACACAAAACAAACACAAAACAAACACAAAACAAACACAAAACAAACACAAAACCAAACACAAAACCAAACAAAAACAACACAAAACCAAACAAAAACCAACCCAAACAAGGCAGGAACGGGGCAAGCGAGGTCGAGAGATCTTGTGATGAACTGAGAAGGGTCGCATGGTAAATGCTTTAGTCGGTTCGGACCGTTATGTCGGTTTTCCGAGATCCTGATATCGGATGTAACTCCGCTGGATCGGACAAAGTATGTCTTAAAACAAAACCTGGTGGGATTTTACATTAATTAATTAACAGCTCCCGTCGTATGTTTGTCTGGAACTAACGATGAGCGAGAGAGAGAGAGAGAGAGAGAGAGCGAGAGAGCCAGGGAGAATGACAGACGGGAGGGGGGGGGGGGGAGAGAGAGAGAGAGAGAGAGAGAGAGAGAGAGAGAGAGAGAGAGAGAGAGAGAGAGAGCTACGGACGGCAAATTGGCCAACTTCCTGTCAACCTATCGAGCTGAAACTTGGCACATTGAGACTCGTTTCCGATGATAACACATTCTTTCTAATTTTGAGCCCACACCCTCCAGAAATGAGTTGTTGTTTTTTTCTTTTGTTTTTGATGGAGGCTTAAAATAAAATTCCCAAAAACTGGGCTCAATGAAATTCATAAAAAAAAAAAAAAAAAAAAAGGTGCAGTTGCAAGGCTTGAGGGCTGGAAGGGGTGGGGGTGGGAGAAGAGAAACATGAATTGGGGGGTTCTCATAAAGTGCATACTTGAATCAGTTTTGTCAAATTTTCAGCCCCATCGCCCATTGCTCGATGTTATATTTTTATTTTATAAAGGATTTATGCGATAAAATGTGTTTTTTTAATGGGCTATTTAATTATTTTTTTAAAATGGCTTTACAATTTCTTACCTTTTCTTGAGAAATAAGGGGAGGGCGTTTCCTTGACTCGTTGAGGATGAGATTATCTTACGATGTTCATTCATAGGTCAAGGCTCTCCATGAGATAAATAACTTATTTTATATTAACCGCCCTTACACTGTATCCTAACAATTATTTAGGCCCATTGTACCGTTCCTATAATATAGAAAATAAAGTTTTGTTTTTTTCATTTTAAATAATTTAATGAAATACCCTAACATATCTTACTAAAAAATCAAAAGTCCATTCAGCATGTCCAACTGGTGCCTAGTTCACTTGATGCACACCGTAGGCGCACTAGTTCACTTGATGCACACCTTGGGTGTGGGTGCACTCGTGCCTAGTTCACTTGATGCACACCATAGGTGCACTCGTGCCTAGTTCACTTGATGCACACAGTAGGCCCTCTATTTCCCTTTATGCACACCATAGGAGCTCTGTGCCTAGTTCACTTGATGCACACCATAGGTGCACTAGTGCCTAGTTTGTTGATGCCCACCAGGGACATATGTTATTATAATTTTAAAACTTTTTTTTACATTATTCTGCCATGAAAGGCTTTAACATACTTGTTCTTAAGTTTTCATGTAACCCACACAGTTCATTTAACATCTCGACTGTCACCACATGACGTCAGTCGGTCCCTCAATTGTCACATCACCATCAGATAATAACCATCCAAAGAGAAATGTTTGACTTGTCTTGTGTGCCTTACTTTTTAAAAAATTTATTTCCCCTTTCTCTATAAATTGTTATGTTAAGACAACGGTTCTCAACCTGGGGGTCGCGACCCCTTCAGGGGTCGCCTAAGAACATCTGAAAACATATATCTTTACAGCTATGAAGTAGCAACAAAAATAATTGTGTGGCTTGAGGGTCGCCAGGACACGAGAAACAGTATTAAGGGGTCGCGGCACTAGAAAGGTTGAGAACCACTGTGTTAAGACATCTAAACAAGATGCATATTAAACCATGACCTCATTAGTCATTACACACCTGTTCCAGATCAGATCAATTTTTAAAAATGTGGATCCTATGTCGCGGGTCCCCTAAAACTTAAGAAATCTTCAATGATAATTCTGAAAAAAGGGGAATGTTTCTATGTGAAATGATAACCTGTACAGGGCCATCATATAAAATATGTCAGCACTGGGGGTGGTGTGGGTGAGGGGTGGTGTTTGATCACTTTAGTAGATTTTGCATAGGCGTGTCCAGTGGGGGTGTGGTGTTTAAATCAGAAGAAATACTAATGCATAGCATAAGGCTTGTAGAAGTAAAGAATGGTTATGGTGAAATCAATTTTCTGAAAGCTTTTTGCAGAGAAACATTAATGATAACCGACTTACTAATAGTAACGGTTTTTATTTTGTATACAATTTATATTTTTGATCTTAATATCTCCAATCCCAAGTTTAAATGCTTGCTGTACAGTATATACCATAACTGAATGTAATATTAGTAAAAAAAAAAATACATATACAAACATAATTCATCTCACATTTTTGTTTTTATTACCATATGATTCAAATTTACAATTTAAGAAACTCAATTTATTAACAACAATATTAAAATCAAATAATCCTTTTAAACCCTGTGAATCGTGAACGCAAGGTCAATTTGACATCACAATTTTCTTGATTTGAGAATAATACAATAATTGAACAGTTCCTTTTCTATACCTTTCACCAAAGCTGCAGTCTTTACATTCACAAATACCTTTAGATCTAATCAGGACACAGCTGTCGGTACATTTCTTGAATACCTTTCATCAACACCGTAATAAGTATATTACCGGTACAACTGATATTATTATTGATTGGTAGGAGGAGACTCCACAAAATTATGGTACGGGTATAACCAATGGCTGCCATCTTTAATCTGTTCAGGCTTTAAAAAATTAATGGCCTTTCCACATTTTGACTCGACAGTTTGACGTTGTCAGTAAGCCAGCATACTCCCTTCATTTGGTTCATTTCCTGCATGCACTCAGATCAAAGTTTTCAACCTAATTAAAAAACATTTAGACCACATTCAATCGCGTTTCCTTAAAGAGAATGGGGATGTGATGATCCTTTTGAGTCCCCGCCAATGATATCGGCAGCGGGGACTCGAATATATCCACTGCACTGAATACTGAACCAAACAAAGCTTGCGTTTTACCCAAGTCCATGTTTTTGACAACGCAAACGTTGGCTGGCTTATTGAGGTAACCCCTCCTGTCTACCACCATCAGTCCCCTAGAGTGCTCTCCCTTCAGCTCAACTGTTGCATACACTTTTTCCTTTTCCAAGATTATTGTAGAGTCAATCACTGTGGCAACGGCAAATACCTCTGGACTGACCATCCCGGTTTTTTCCAGTTGGTCCAGGTCTTCATGAGTGAAGCATTCAATGAGGAATGTGCTCATTTCTGTCCCTGTGTTGAGCCAGAGCACATAGTTTCTCTGAAATACAGACACAAGGATGTAACTATGGAGAACAAATAAATTGTTAGGTGCGGTACTTTTTAATCAACATAGCTAGTGGGAGTGAGTTAATATTGTTAATATATGTTAACAGTTTATTCTGCATTGTGTTAACCCTATAACTGTCATAATGGCAGATCATCTGCTGTTATACCCCTTTCTGTGATGTCATGGATGATATAATCATCCACTAGCAAAATCGTCATCAAAATTGCGAAATGATATAACGCATATTGGTTATGGGGAAAGAGCTCTGCATAATTGAGTTTTCTTCCTATTTCCATTACTATCTGTGTATTCAAGTGCTTTTATCAGGAATTTTTTGTGTGATTAATTGGGTGTACCAAATTTTCACACATTTTTTTTTTTACCGCCGTAATGTCAAATGCCGGGTCCCCCTCTAGATTGCAAAATCAAACAGAATTTCTTTGTTTAAAATAGATTAAAATGAAAACAATTACTTCAGAGATATTCCAAGTGCTAGTAATGACAGTTTTAGCTCTAGCAGGTGATGGCGAAATAAGAGTCAGATATTGACAATTTTAGGCCTAAACTTATTCAAACTTTTACAGACAAATTTGTTTGGGAAAGGTTGGAAATCAAACAGAAAAAGAACAGAGATTGGATCCCAAAGATCTGCCCCAAAGACGTTTATGCTTGTGTATCTGGAGCATTAATTAATTAAAAAAATTAATGTAACAACTTTAACTGAAAAGGAATTTTCAAACTCATTTCATGTCGTCTACTATGCATGGCAGAAATGTGAAGGCAGTGAATGGAAAAAAATCATCAATATTATAATTGTCAAAACAAATAACTACAACTTGACATTTTCTGAAAGAAAATTGCTTCTAGTATCTCAAAAATTTGATTTTATGATAGTTTGTTTTTTTGGGTGAATTCAAAAGCTGAGTACTAGTCTAAACTTTTACTCACTCTGTAAAGGTCAAGGTCAATAATCAACATATTTACATACAAACACATTTATTTCATACTATAAGATAACCCTGTCCAATGAACTTTCAGAAAATGTATAGTTTTAAGGGTCTCTCAATTCATTTAGTCTGGGATTTTGTCATTTTTAAAAAGCATATGAAAATTCCAAAAAATGGCTTGACTCTACATAAAAATTGTCCTTGACAGTTAAAGGGTTGATATGAGGGACTACAGTTACCCTAAGAAACTTTTGTATCATCTTCACCATGCTTTATTTTCACTTAGTCAGACTGTGCTATCTAAGAAACAATTATCAGTGATCCTTAGGTATCTTTGTCATTGGTTGAGAAAGTTGTTTTTTATCATCATTCCCCCCCCCCCACCCCCTGATGAAAGCTTATGTTATATATAGGTTTCTGTGGTTTTGGTGTCACTTTAAGTGTTAAAAATTGCTCAATTCCCCCCCCCCCCACCCCCTGATGAAAGCTTATGTTATATATAGGTTTCTGTGGTTTTGGTGTCACTTTAAGTGTTAAAAATTGCTCAAAGAACTTACAAAAGGAATGCTGTGGCGCTGACTTATTTCATAGGGTAAAATAAAGGCATTTTTTATTTCTTGCAAAACAATATAAGCAGCTTCTGGGTCAAACAGGAAGTTTTGTTCAGCACATGTTGATATGTCACCTTGACCTTAAAGGAAAAAAAAAACCTTTGAGAACACTTTATAAAACATTACACATTTTTTTAAAAACATTTTAATTGTACAATAAATTATTCTTTTTCTTAGTTATTAATTTCATATTATTTAACAATGATTTCATCCTAATGTGTCCCACCATCATAAGTAAAATATGAACTCAGGTAATACTAACCTTCTATGTTTCCTCCAACAATGAAGAGCTCTTTTAAGTGATTAGCTACCAGAGGATCAAGTCTCAGTGCCAGGGCCAAATTTGTTAAAGGCCCAAGACATATCAGTGTTATCTCCCCTGTAACAATTATATAAAATATTGGAAACATGTCAACAATGAAATTATATCAGCACCACATATTAACAGATATACATAGATAAATGTGCTAGCTCCACTTACAGAATAACATAAATAGATGTGCTAGCTTCACTTAAATACAGAATTACTTAGATGTGCTAGCTCCACTAAGATACAGAATTACATAAATAGATGTGCTAGCTCCAATTAAAATACATAATTAAATAGATGTGCTAGTTCCACTTAGATACAGAATTACATAGATGTGTTACCTCCATATATATAGATAAAGAATTACATATGCAGATGTGCTTTAAATAGATACAGAAATACGCTAGCATCACATAGATACAGTAATACATAGATATGCTAGCAACACATATATACAGAAATACAGAGATAGATGTGCACATTTTTCTAGTGGTGCTTAAAAATTCTTGAGTTATTCAGATTTAATTTTACTTCAGGCATTTGATCTAAAATTAAACAACCCTTAAAAACAAAGTTTTTCATATAAATCCTTTATAAAATTTAATGTCGTGAAAGGGGCTAATATTTGACAAAGCACACATACAAGTAAGGCACTTGATAAAAATCCCAATTAATGTGCCCCCCCCCTCCTCCGCTCGCAACCACACATTTTTCTGACACCCCTGAACTATATTATTATAATATTATTCTAATGACCCACCCACTTTTTACGCCGCAAATTTATTTCACCAAACTATTTCAGAGAAACAAAAGAAAATATTACGATCAAAACACACTTGGGTTTTTTTTTTTAAAAAGAATCTCATTTAGCACAGTTATCAGGAATTTTCCACCATGTTCCCCTTGAAAAACTAATTTTGGGGGGTTAGGTGGTGGGGTTGAAATTTTGAAAGAATATTTTGTCATCTGCAATAGGTCTATGGGTCAAGTTTAAGCTCTATAAGTTGGTGGGAAGTGGGTCAATTAGCCATCAAAGATTTTGCCACGCAGCCAGCCACCCACGAACAAAAGCAAAGTTAATAATAGATAAGTTTTCATCATCCTACTGATTGTAATTTTAACATTTAAATTTAGTTATCTAAAGACCAATAGATGAGAAGAATGATACTGTTGGGTACACAAAAAAGTCTAAGTATAAATTACAAATGTTTTTACATTTTTTGTTTCAGTTTGATCCACTTATTTTTATTGCACTCATTAAGGTGTTACATAAATTCTAATGCAGTCAAATTGACATTTTAGTTCATGCTTATTTGTTGAATATGTGATGAAATCTAGCTGGACAATTAAATTCCAATACAGTGATATACTAAAACGCCCTCCCCATTTTTTTATTGTTTAGTATGAGTTGTTCTCCCTGATATCATTGTGCACAACTCACTGACAGCATTGCACCGTCTCAAAAATTTTGACCACGCTTCTAAAGATTTACTTCATTGGTATTGTTTAGCAAATGGTTGAAATGAGCCAATGACCAATGATATTAAACTAACTACATATATCGTGGTAGAATTAAGAATTGTTCTTTTCTAGACCTTCACGCCGTCGTGACCACATTGTTACTTCATAGGTCTGAAGCCGGCAAATTCTAACCTAGCGAGTTGTTCAGGCATTTCTCTTCCACTCCTTTTTACTTGGATACATTTATCACCATTGCATTTAAAGTTTGTTTATTCATTTTAATGTATGATCATTCTCATTCGAATGAATATGTATAATTGATTGTGTTTTTACATTTAACTCTATGTTCGCCATGCGTCTCCAACATGGGACAAGTGTTGGCCATTTTGACATTAATTTATTTAAAGACTTCATCCAATCTTTAGGATGGTGATGTAGCCCAATCTTTAGGATGGTGATGTAGCTATTAGATATTTGTTATCCAACCCAACTTTTTGGGATAAAGTGTATTAATACCTGACTTATTTTATAATTTATTGTGTGATTAAGTTTGAGAAGATTCTTTGCCCCATGTTGACACTAGCTGTACATGCTTGCGCAGACTAATAAGGTTATCGATTGGATGTGTTCAAAGCCCCTTTCCCCTTCAATGCCTCGATCTGAATTTGTTCTTGGAAAGGGATCTGTCAGCTTATGACTATTGGCAAAGTTGCTACCTTCCCTTTTCTTGCATTATTTCACATATAGCCTGGTTGCCATCATGTATATCACCAGAAATCACAGCACCTTAGCAGCTGGATTGAGGATCATTTCCCTGAGGCCGGAATTCCAAGAACTCCACCCAGTACCCATCCAGAGGAACAAGTCTGCATTGATTCGACCACGCGCTGATAGGACTCTACACCCACGACACACCACTGGGAAGTCCACATATCACAATGTACAAGGGGAAAGCTATTCCACAACATACTACTGTGACTTCCATTTTCATTCCTGCCCTGAGAAGCCACAAAGGAAAGGACTGGAGAAACCAGTTCCAACGTTGAAGTGACCTTCCAAATTGATCAAGCCAGATCATCAAAACAATTCTACTTTGATAAAGTTAAGTTTTATGGTCTGATCATATAAAATTCTGTTACAAAGCAATTGATTATTATGATAAATGTTAGGCATAACTTAGATATAAACTATATGCAAAGGTATCTCCTATTCTTAACTATTATGACCTCTTTGAAGTGTTGTAAAATTCATGTAACTAAATAAGTGCATTTAAATGTCATGAAATTTTGTTATGGATTCTTTTGATATGCAGGTATATGGTAATATGATAATTATGTCCCTTAGTGAGTGAATTTGATCAAACATAAAGCCCCTAGACATGAACAGGTGATAAACTCATACGAGTTATCCACATACACCTACCATTAGAATTCATTTCACTACAGAATTATAATGATGGCATCTATAAAAGCTTATGTTATAGAGCAATTTTTGGGGGAATTTTTTTGCAACCACCCTTTGTCAACTAATTAATGGTATTTGATAATATTTGTTTACATTTTACAATACTTTCTTGTTGTTCAGATCAGTGTGTGCTGGAGGGCTGAAAAGTCAATGCTGGGTATACTGATTCTTAAATTATAGTTCCGTTAAGTAAAATCCATTGCTCTTTGTAGTAGATCAAGTAAATTAAAAGAAAGGTTGTCAAACACTGTCATAAAGGGGAGTTGCGATAGTAAAGATAACAAGATTGTCAAACATTACCATATAGATAAGTTATGATTGTAAATATAACCTGGGTTTTCATTGACGTAGCGGATGAGTGATGACACTGAATGTTCTGCTTGTACGTGACCTTCTACTTTCCGTGACCAGGCTGAGCCAGGAAGATTCTCTTCTTTCCCAGTCAGACCCAGCAATGACTTCTCAGCCCCCCTGCACACATTGATCTGAAAATCAAGAACAATTTTTTAAAAATTAAACAAAGATTAATAAAAACCAGCTTTCTGCATTGTTTAAAATTAAAAGTGGGTAATTATTTTCTACACAAATTTAAAACACATTCTATTAAAACAGTTGTGTTGAAATATTGAAACCATTTGCATTTGGTACTCCACTTAACAATTTTAAAACTATGTCTTGGACATGTGTCATCCATACAGGACCACATAAGAGAACCTTTCTATCAGTCCCTGTAGCATTACACAAAATATAAGCAACTGAATGCAACACCTAAATGAAACATGACTAAAGAGAAAAATACTTTAAAAATACCCCAAGAGCAGAACTTACAATTTGATTAGGTATTACTGAACTTCCATTAGATTAAAAGTGACACCATCTATTTAATGACTTATAAAAAAATGATTCTCACATCGTCTCTACCACAAGCCCGGAGCACCCTCAGCGCATTCTCACAAGCATTGAGTACAGAGACCCGGCCAGCCACACAATTTATAGCCATGAGCTCAATGTCAGGTCTGGAGGCAGCCAACACTATAGCCTAAGTTAGACACAGAAAATATAGTATACATTTAATGGTACGAAAATTTACTTTTTCACATTACAATAAAACTAAATTTTTAGTTTTAGAGAAAAAAATGTAAATAAGGAAAATAAAAAAAATTAAATGGCAGATGTTAAATTTAAATACAACATGCATCAAAAATCAACAGTACTTTAAAAAAAAATATATGTCCTTGTCATCTGTCAATTCATTTCTTCTAGAAGATACTAACATACACGATATTAGCTTTGTTGATTTATCTGGTCTGCATAATCTAAATGTTCATAGTATGCGCTGCCTTACTGTAGACAGTGTTTACATCGATCATGAAGATCAGCGTTCTCCAAACGGTGGTCCGAGGACCGGCACCGGTCCACGAGCCTTACGTTACCGGTCCAGAGAGCATGAATATTGATGTTTAAATAGAAAGAAAATGTAATTAATAAATCTGGCACCAGTCCCTGGTGCAGTTTTGAAACTTGTCCCCCGGTCCGTCAAACTTAAAAGTTTGGGAAACGCTGATGTAGATTTTCAAACATCACTGAACAATGTTTGCGGCAGACTCTAGCTAAAGGAGATTATTTCCTTGCATAATGCAGCACAGTTCTTCGTGAATATTCAGAGATGAACACACTCTTATGTACAAGGTGTAGCGTAAAATAACATCTGGTGGTTCAAAACCAAGGTAGCGAGTTGTCTGAAGATTGATGTAGCCATCTGATATTTGTCTGAGAACCACAAATTCCAAAAAATATATGGATCCTCATACACATGGCTAAAAATTCTTCACAATACATCACCCAGGCTCCCAATCTTGCTTGGGCAAGTGTTGTACAAACTTTATCCAGTACGAAAATGCACCTATGTCCTTACACAAACAGGGAATTCTTATGTTCAGTTTCAATGATTTTTGTAATCGACTTTGTGGGGGCTAATGTAGAATCTGCAGAGCATGTGCGCGATTTTCATTTGTTGAAAGAATTACTGTCCACCAGTCTTACCCTTCCGTTGAGACAGTACAATTCCAGAACAGCAAGATTACTTAAAAATAGACAGCATAACCAAGTTACTTAAGCTATTTGGTGCCATCTCATTAAATCTCTCAAGGGAATTGTTCTGTCCCCATTTACAAACTCACCATCTGCAAGAGACTTGCAGGATGACAAGATTCTCAGAGGGGATTTAAAGGACTTGGTAAGTTCCCAAATATAAAACACTTTGCTTCTTCAAACACCGGTCCTCTTCACGACCAGTTCCGTATCAGCTAAAATGGTGCTCAACCATGAAATTTTTTTCATCGGTAGAGATCCATTTTCAACAGCAGCTGCCTAACACAACTTCCTTGACACCTTATGGAACATGTGGCAGCTGGAGCTTTGCACCATTGACTAATACATGTAAATGTCTTCAAGATGCGGCAGTTTCAGTTCGGTTACTATTGGGGCATACTGTATCTGAGTAAGGAAATTTGGTTATTTTTTTACTGTACAGGATGTACATTGTAATTTTTATAACATTATTGACTACCGGTGATTATTTCCCTAAACAACTGCACCTACTTGCAAGGGAGTAATATAGTCATGAGTGCTCAATAAAATACCAATATTAATTTTCATTCAAGTAAAAATGGTTAGAAATTATTAACACTCATGTATTACAGTAAATCATGGTTTTAAACATTTTGTCTTTTTGCCACTTTTGAATGTGTTTGGGCACCAGATATGTACATTCTAAAAATCCTAATTATATTTACTTGCTAAGATATTTATTATAAAACAAAGTCATATCATTTTTAAAATAAAAATTAAATAAAAAATAATGTGTTGCTTGCATAAGATTGAGCATCATTAGAAAGACAGGACAGAACTATATTACTGGTATTGCTATGATTGGATTTAAAAAATGAACACATTGCTGGGACCAACCTGTGCTGCTGTTGGGCTAGAATCAACATCGAGGATAACACGTCGCCTTGTGGTCCCAGATCTCCGAGTCTTTGACACAGGGTACACAGTTTGAAACCCAACATTGAATTTGCGTTTTTTGAAAGCTGGAGAAGCTTTCTGAAGTGGCTGAAACAGGGCATTGTCCTAGATAAATAGGCTGAGACTTCCTTTTTTTCTTTTAGATGGAGTGGTTTACTTCTAAACATTCCGCCATACATAACCAAGACAAACTGTTTTCCACTGATACAGACCTTTACATTCTTTCAATCTTTCTGTTGCTCTGAGATATAGGTAGCCTGGTGTAGAGCAAGAGTTACCCCTTAAGAAGACAAGATTGATGGGTTTTTAAAAAGCTATTTGAAATTTTTAAAAATTAAAATTTGAATATATTCCCTTAAAAATTAAATGTTTTGGTTAAGGATGGCAGAAATGTTTTTAAATTATTTTTTCCCCTAAAAGTTTGTTAAAATGACTAGTCGTAAAGTCCTATCAAAGCTAACAGTTTTTAGTTGATTTCCCATGAAGTTATTGGCACTATATTATTTAACTCATTACCACTGCAGGTCGAAAGTCCTGGTGAGATCGAATGTGTTTCTGAAGGGCTTTCTTTTTGTTAAAAACTTCTTTGCACAAGTGACAAGGAAACAGGACAATAGTCCCTGAAGTTGATTCGTCTGGTTCAATGTGTACAACTGTCTCAATCTCTCCACTGGAAATCTTCCCCGCAAGGATTTCATTCAAAGCATTGGCTACCTCTTGTTGATTAGAAGATACTTCCTACAATATTTTAAAAAAAATAGTGAATTACATCAGAATAAAAACCTTCCATTTATTGGGGCGAAACTATGACATCTGTATATTTATGACATGAAAGATCTGTTTTTAGAAAGCTAATTTTTAACTGATTACTGGTTTTATTTGGCTTCATAGAACACCATTAGCTGGCCATGTTAAACACCATGCTGCACAGGTCAAATTTCTGTTTTTATTTTTTGCCTTGTGTCCTTTTCTATAAATAGATGAATCTTTAACAGTTCACTAAAATATCTGATTAATACTGATAGTGAGAATCAAAGAAATATATTTGGTCCTTTTAGTACAGAGTCAGTTCCTTGTAAGGGATTTCATTCGTCTTTTTAATTACTATTGGTGTTGTAATAAATTAAAATTTTTCATTTGACAAAAAAAAAAAAAAATTTAAATTTAAACACCATTTTGTAAAAATTAACCAAAAATAATGTTTAAACTGATTATCTTTTCACATCCTTATCTATGAAATGAAAGATTTGTAGTAAGCAATTTCCTTTCCATCCATCACAGTGTTTAAAATAGGGGAAAATACTACATCAAAAATAAGATTTTTTAAGCAAACAGTTTCATAAATAAACTTTTAGACTCTCAGATGCCTTTGAACAGGAGTCAGATAGAATGGATGTCTCTTGTCCCCCTTCCTATTCATCCTTGCCATTGACTGGATAATGAAAGAATCCCCCCCAAAAAAAGAGGAAAGGGTACACTGGACAACCCCGGGAACAATGGAATGACCTAGACTTTGCAGATGACCTTGTACTTCTGTCCCACAACCAGCAACAAATGCAGTGCAAAACAAAGACCTTGTAAATCCCTAGATAGCATCATTAGATGATTCTGAACATGGAATCCACAGGGGAAAATTAAAAGAGAGGAAGGCCAAAAATACAGGAGACATGAGCTATAGGCATATATAAACTATGGTATACAATCTCTGACCCTTTAAATCAGAGCTCCGCAATCGATGTTCTGCAAGATGATGCTAGGTAACTTGTTGCAAAATTCCTTTAAGGGGAGACGATTTATATTTGTTGAGACAAAAGGAAAATTTATTGAATAATGAACAAGCTGTCAAATGTTTGACGTCAAATACCATAGCACATCTGTATGTTTATATTTGAAAGGTTACTTGACAAATAATTCTAAAGCCGTGAGATATAGATTACTCGTTCGCTTTGGACTTTGCACAGGTTCGTGTCACGACTGTATCGTGTAATACTTTCGACTAGGTTTTGATAGCTGGCTATTTAAAACTTGTTGACACTATGGAGTTGGAGGTAACATTTCATCACCAACAAATAACAACAAACCCAACACAAACTAAGCCACAGCCTTTCAGTCAAGACAGAGGCTAATGCAAACATTTCAACTGATTTGTTGACGCAATCAAACTCCTGTTGAGTGCTAAATATTTTTTTAAAAATTTTGTCATTTTTTTTTTTTGTAGTGCGCAGTGAACATCTGGCAAGGGTCTTGGTTTGCCATGAGGTAAAAAAGGTTGTGGAGCACTGCTTAATACCATATAGTATACCTACCTCTGATTCATCATAACCTCCTTCTTCAAGGTCATCTGGGTCCCGCTTGACTATGGCAAATGGATTATGAGTCTGTGACATAATGGAGGTTAAAATCAAATTTGTTAGATGTATTTGTAAAAGTAACTATAAAATCAACAGAGAAGTTAAAGAATATTAAGTGCTTTAAGTAATTAGGGAATGGAAAGATGAAGATTAATTATTTTTAATTAAAAGTAGGGCATGATAGTACAAGTTCAAAATTGTTGGTATAATTTTACAACTGCCAATCTGATGAGAATTATCTCAAGTTGGGTGTAAATGTACAACTGCCAATCTGATGAGAATTATCTCAAGTTGGGTGTAAATGTACAACTGCCAATCTGATGAGAATTATCTCAAGTTGGGTGTAAATGCAGACCTGTTTACTCTTACGATTTTGGCGTACAATGTACGATTTTGAGGTGTATACATTATATATGCAGCACGTTTTTGCTCTATTAAGAGAATGTATTGAACGATTATATGATGATATTGTACGATTTTAAGGGTTTGAGGGTAAACAGGTCTGTAAATGTACAACTGCCAATCTGATGAGAAGTATCTCAAGTTGGGTATAAATGTACAACTGCCAATCTGATGAGAATTATCTCAAGTTGGGTGTAAATGTACAACTTCCAATCTGATGAGAATTATCTCAAGTTGGGTGTAAATGTACAACTTCCAATCTGATGAGAATTATCTCAAGTTGGGTGTAAATGTACAACTGCCAATCTGATGAGAATTATCTCAAGTTGGGTGTAAATGTACAACTTCCAATCTGATGAGAATTATCTCAAGTTGGGTGTAAATGTACAACTTCCAATCTGATAAACTTAACTCCCATAGGGGTGTACTGATACAACCTACAATCTAACATAGGGGCGTGATGGTACAACCTACAATCAGACAGACTTATCTCAAGTTTGGCATGGGAATGAATTGTTGAGCTTAACACTTGTGCTATGAGAATACATAGATCCTGTAGCTAATAAATAAAAGATGAGTGGCATTGTTACCTACCCCTGCCAATTTATCCGAAGTGATGGTATTGTCTTGAATTGTTGTACTACGTCGTCTTGAGGCGTAGGAATGTGTGTTTGAACACTGTGGGCACATCTCAATAAATTTGATGACTAAAATTCGAGGCACCAAGGCATACATGGCTTTAATCTGGTACAAGAAAACAAATGACAAAAAGTGTTACATAATGATGACAATAAATTTAATGAAACACCACAAGTCAAATCTTACCTAATGCTAACCTAATAAAATGTTTTTTATTGTAAAAAATATAACTTAGAAGCTAACATTTTTAGTTGAAAATCCATGATTGGCTTGAGAATCAACCTTTAACTAATAAATAATATCTTATCACATAAATATATATATATATATATATATATATATATATATATATATATATATATATATATATATAAAAAAGTGAAAATCTGTGGTAGGGCTGGGGTACTGCGCTATATGAGACCACCAATATTATTAATAATGATAATAATATCCATCATTTCAGAATCAAATACTGGGTGGTTTTGATCTTTTTGTAACATTCCATTTGGGGCCAGGGCTTTTAATTCTTGTTTCCATTATAAGAGCTATATAAATAAAATTACCAACGAATACTCCAACATAAATGGGTAGATCTTGACTAACTTAGTACACATACACTTGATTATCCATATTCAAATACTGAAGGCTACAGAACTCATAATATCCACAACTTTGGGGCCAGAGGCCCCATTTCATTTTTTTCTATTGTAAGCTATATAAATACCAATAGGCTTAGACAACACTATCGGTTCTATATAAATTGATAGATCTAGGCCTAGCTTGGTAGCAATATCTTTTGAATAGCCCATATTGAAATATCATTGGATTTAAAATTAATAATGTCCAATCTATTTGGGAGGAAAGGAGGAACTTTCTCTTGGAGCAATGTCACTTGAGTTCATGCTCACCAGTAAAAAAAATTTGATTTAAATTAGATCACAAAATTCAATTGGCTTATTTATCTTACAAAATTGCAAGTATCATCCCAAGAAGGGCAACCGACCTATCAGAGCCAAAAAATTTATCTGAGTAGCTTTTAAAGGTTTTTAAAAATTTTGACCCCCCATTACTTAAAAAAATATTAGCAAAATAGTCTTGAATTAAGAGTTTTGATTTTAATACAATTTACCATTTCCACCTTCATCCATTACTTTTTTAATACGTTATCAGTGTTTTTTTAAGTCTAAAAAAATGAGTGAATGTTGGTATGACTTATTTTCATGCAAAACACCTACACTGACAGTTGACAGCCAACAATATTGTGCCAAGACAAACAGTTTGGAAAGCACTGCATTAGATAATATATGTGAATAATTTAAATATAATTAGAGATTAAACACATTAGATCCTATTCAGACTCACCGCTCGAAATGTCTGAGATTGTCCCACATGACCATTTTCTGAATGTGCAGCATAGATAATGTCAAAGAAATCATCAATGGTTGCAACTCTCTTGAAAAGAGTCTGTTATAAAACAAAACAAAGTTTGCACATGTCATACGGTGTTTATCGGGATTCTATCTTTAAAGTAATTTATAAATGTGTCTTAAAAATGATCTTGGTAACAACAATCGATGTTAATTTCATAATTTATTAACGATTTGATGCAAATAATGGGAAAAAATTCTAATTCAGTCAGAAAATAGTGTAGGAGTTTTGAAAGGTAACCTCCCCCACTAACTCACTCTACTAGTCTTAGTTCAGACATAAGATACATTTTATAACAAAGAAATTTTTTTTAGCTGCTTTAGTTTTAGACCAATATAGAATATAGGCCCATTTGAGATTTTTAAATTAAAAAATGTCAAGGTTTATAATAATCTCAAAAGGGCCCATTCAAATCAATTCAAACTTACAGAACTAATTTTTTTAACGATATTGATATGTCTGTATTTTATTTCAATAAGTAGTTTGAAATATGCAGCTTTATTCTGCATAAATCCCCTACATATTATTGCCCATGATGAAGCTTAAACTTAAACCCTATTAAACTATTAAATAATTGATGAACATGAAATTTTTACCGGTACTTATTAGTGTTATTAGATTTAGTTTTGCGACTAATTAGCCTAGTCATAGTCTAGGTCTAAAATGATTAAGTAACGCCGTATTGAAATCCTTTAAATTTCAAATCGTTTAGGGGAGTGAAAATGTTCCAATGACATCAAATTTACAGGTAAATTAAGCTAATTAATATAGGCTAACATCATTTGGATCATTTCCCTTAGGTGGTAGTGCCAATATATCCTCGCCATCTGGAGACTGGACAATTCGAAATCCCTTTGAGCGCACCCAGAACCGGAATCTAGCACTCGGTTCGTCTTTAACATTTTTTAAACATTTTAAAACCCGCTCCCTTTTCATGGCATTCAAAGTATAGCTGTTATGAGATCCTCCACAATATTCGCGCACGTAATTCGAAAATTGCATTTTGAAATTATGATCATTATTTTCTAAAAGTTCTTCTTTATCCATGTTAGTTCCAAGAATATGAACAATTCAATATGGCGTCGTTACACATAAAGGGCAATTTTCAACTCCGCGCAATAATCTGCGCATTTCCGGAAAAAGAAGTAAATATTAAGTTGCATCATCGAACAATCACACGCTCCTTTCGTTTCGTTATCTTAAAATCCCAGTTCGCGACTCCCCTTCACATTGTGTGACCTCATTTAACCTAGACTAGTCCTAGTTACCAAGTCGTCCGTGCTTCGTGATACTTAATCTTATCCGAGTGCGTTGACATGTCCGGGAACTCAGAACGTAAGATAAACAACCAATTTATTTTAGAGTGGCTCTCAAATAAGTGCGCGTATTATATTTAAAAAGAAATATATAATAACCGAGGAGATATACGATCGTGTTTGACGCCCGGTAGCACGCCCAGTGCTCGACCAAAAAGTGATACTTTAATGCTAAGAGTCTAAGAGCGCATCCTTTTTTTTTAATTCAATGTCATTTAAAGTTACCGGTAAAGGATAATTTTAATATTAAAACAATCAACGACAACATGTTACCGTAATACGATCCGTATTTAATAATACCGTTAATAATAATTTAAAATATAATAAGGGCCATCTAACTAGGACTTCGCTTTCGTGAAAAGGTCAGTTTAAAAAAAAAAAAATGTTAATTAAACAAAACAGACAATTGTATTAGTATTGCGTTGAGCTAATTACATGGTTAAAAACAAGATGAACTTTCCAGCTCAAGTTTTTTCAAATTTAAAAAAAAAAATAAAATCAATAACAGACTTCAAGTTTCTTCTATTATGACGTTTCCTCCACATTTTGAGATACGTTTGTCGGAAAGTTACTTTCAAATAAATGATTTGGATATTTCGTAATATAATTTTTTTTATTGACTGTGACCTTTTTATAAAAAAAATCGATGCAGCACACTGATATAGGTAGGCTTTATTCATATGAATAATTAACGAGTTTATTTGAATAATTCAGATTTTTCCTTTAAGGTAACAAAAACATCCCTTTGAAATGAGGTTTCTTTGAAATAGCATACAATGTACTTCAGATTGTAAATAGTGTTACAAAAAAAAAATAATAATAATAAAAATAAAGAGATTATGATGATACTAGTACTATGGAACACCATTCTGAAAAAAAACTTAAATTTAGCAAATTCTAGTATGGTTTTACTTTACTCATTATTACAAATTCCCAAATGCGTGCAGAAAATGACGTAATCAGAATAGTTATAATTATAAGACTCTGCTAAACCTTTCTAAAAAGTCAGCTCAGTTTAAGTGAACGAAATTCCCCGAACGGTAGTGACCCTGATTTATTTCAATTTTTCATATGCTAAGAAAATATGATTTGATTTACCTCATGAATTCCTCCAATTTGATAATTAAATGCAATATTACAAAATGTATCCAGATATCAGAACAAGGTGTGTTTGCCCTCCTCAATACCATTAACCCTTACAAAGCATGTGGTCCGGACAACATCAAACCACGAGTGCTCAAAGAATTAGCCAAAGAAATCGCTCCTGCACTGACAATCCTCTTCCAATCGTCACTGTGCACAGGAAATGTTCCAGCAGACTGGAGAACAGCGCATGTCACTCCAATCTACAAGAAAGGGGAGCATTCCGACCCTGCCAACCATCGTCCGATATCCCTCACCAGCGTGGTCTGCAAATTGTTGGAGCACATAATCGTAAGCACAGTCATGAAGCATCTTGAAAGCCAAAATATACTCAATGACTGTCAACATGGCTTCCGAGTCATTAGATCATGTGAGACCTAGCTTCTTGAATTTGTAGAAGACCTGATGACAAATCTGGAGAACCACAAGCAGACTGACGTGCTGATAATGGACTTCGCAAAGGCATTTGACCATGTGAATCATAGTTTGCTTCTACACAAACTCCAGAGATATGGGATCCAAGGCACCGATGCCAAGCAGTAGTGGTGGACGGTACAAGCTCCTCCTTTGTCGATATGAAGTCAGGGACCCCCCAGGGATCAGTGCTGGGCCCCTGTTTGTTCCTTGCATACATTAATGACCTACCCGAGAAACTGACATCACAAGCAAGACTGTTCGCAGATGACACAGCGGTGTTTAGGACGATCACCAACAGATCTGACCGCGACCAGCTACAACAGGATCTCAATCTGTTAGCTGAGTGGGAGATGAGCTGGGACATGGAATTTCACCCTGCCAAGTGCAAGACACTATCAGTCTCTAGAAGTTGTACTCCTCTACATTACCAATACGAACTGCACGGCCATATACTTGAGCTAGTTTCCTCCGTAAAGTACCTGGGTGTTACCATTCAAAGAGAGGTCCGCTGGGACGAGCATATTAACAATGTATGTAACCAAGCAAACAAGACCCTGAGGTTCTCAAGGCGAAATCTAAAGATTGCCAACTCCTGTGTGAAAGAAAGAGCATATAAAGCCTTTGTCCGTCCGGTTTTAGATTATGCATCTTCAGTATGGGACCCATTTATCCAGAAGAGCATTGACAGGTTGGAGACAGTCCAGCGACGAGCAGCACGCTTTGTCATAAACCGCTACAGGAATACCTCTAGTGTTGGCAGCATGCTGGAAACACTAGGCTGGTCACCATTGGAGGAACGACGACGACAACCCAGGCTCTCCATGATGTACAAGATAAATAATGGGCTGGACTACTGTTCCAGTATTAAACAGAAACTCGCCCCCCTCCCCCATAGACAGCGACGAGGCCATGACAGGCAATTCAGGCTCATACCAGCAAGAAGCCAGTATAGGAGCTGCTCATTCCTGCCAAAGACAATCAGGGACTGGAACCATCTTTCAAAAGAAACGGTTGAGGCGACAACACTAGACACATTTGTGTCTATTGCCTCCAGCCTTCAAACCCCTAATGCATGATTCCCTCACAAAGTGGCACTGGAAATCATTGAAATTTCCTCAACAACACCAGGCACAGAAACATTGCAAATCCCATCTACATGCATAGGAGCCAAAATGATCAATAAATTGATCGTGGGCCCTTAAGATATAGAAGAAGAAGAAGATGATATACGTGTATAATAATAACATTTCATAAAATTATCAATGCTAGATAGGAGCCCGCCAAACATTGGCGACAGCAATGCGTGAACTTCTCATGAACTCAAGTTACGCACATTTAAGAATGCCAATTATTTCAGATATCCCCCCACCCGCCCGGGGGGGGGGGGACTTCAGATTTTTCGGGGGCCAGTGCCGGTTGATTTATTGTTGGACATATTTTTGCTCGGGGGGGGGGGTTACTTGGCTCCCCCCGGAGATATTGCTGAAAGAAACCCTGGCTGCCGGCACCTTGAGCCGGCTCTGCACCTCATTTCTGACGCATCAACCTTGAACTTTTAGCAAAGCTCGCATTTGGATTGGTTACATTTACATGTGTGGAAGCTTTACGTGTGATCGGTTATTCTTTTATGTTATGAAATTAGGTTCTACCGAGCGGTGTGTGCTCCGTCAATGTGCAATGTTTCAATTTGGTGTCACGCCCTGAGACGGTGTCACCTGGTGCGGTCCGCATCCCCACACCCTCCAGCAACGCCACTGTGAACCGTTCAACACCTACTACATAACATTCTTTCAATTGCCTATAATTATGTTATGTTTAACAACTCCCCCCCTCCCCCCCCCCACCTGAAACTTTTTTGTCTTTTTAAAAACAGCATAAGTAGAGGGTCATACCAGAGAGAGATGAAAAAAAAAAGAATAGCATGTAGGTTTAACAACCCCCCCCCCCCCCCCCCCCCACCTGAAACTTTTTTGTCTTTTTAAAAACAGCATAAGTAGAGGGTCATACCAGAGAGAGATGAAAAAAAAAAAGAATAGCATGTAGGTTTCATTTCTTCTACTCGTGGGAACTGATAATTAACTAACCAATTATTTGGTAATTAGCGGACATTCTTTTTAAAAAAAATAATTTTAATAATTGTTTGGCACTTTATTCACTTATACATTTAACTTAAGCAGTCCGCAACGATCGCTATACTTATTTAGTTTTATAACATTATTATTTCTATAAGCCTGCTTGTAAATTGTTTCACCTGTGGAAGGCCTACATGACAGGTGGCATTAGATAAATCAAAACAGTACCAGGTAGATCATTTTAAACACAACAGTTAAATCGTTTTAAGCAATCCTAATTGATTACTGCTGTCATCTGGACCATTATTAACATTAGCTATATCGTATGTCAGTCATTGTTACATTCTCCTGTGAGGGCCGAGCTCACGCTCATAAGGCTATGGCCAATATAGCAGCAGCGACCTGCCTTATCTGGTGGGCATCACCGTAAATAAAGTTAGCATCACGGGTATCGGTACACGTGTTTAGACCTCCCACTGTGTCGCCGTTACCTGGGGCAGTCAACCACCAGGTGTTCGGCCGTCTCGGTGGCATGGCCACATGGTCGGCAGACGAGTCCAGACGATCGAGGTAATGGCGTGTCACGCACTGGTCCGTCCTCATTTGTGATTTTAGCCTCTGTTCATGTCTCTTAAGTTTCCACCATTTGTCGCTTTTGCTCGGTCGCGGTATGTTCCGTTAGAGCTGTCGTCCAGTTGCACCTGCCGTCCAAACCTCTAAGCCACGCCTCTCGGAAGTGATCTTTTAGCCATGCCTTGACACCCCCCACCCCAACAAAAAAAAAACAAAAAAAAATAAAAATAAATAAATAAATAAATAATTGAGTCACCGCTTTATCGGGTTGGGTCTAGGCTGCACCGTCTCGCGCTAGGGCATCGGGCCTGTCGTGCTGCATTACCTCTACGTGCCCTTGGATAAACTGCATGAAGACCTTACCGCCCAGGGCGTGGATACCGTACACTGTCTCCAGAATGGCGTTTACCACTGTGGTCTCTTTTCAGCCATTTCCCGAGCTTTCAAGAGCAAAGCGTGGGTCAGTGAAGACCACAGTGTCCGGGAAGTTCTTGCTCTTCGCTAGGCATAGGTGTACTCTTTTGAT